TGGGCAACATAAAGGCACAATGGCTGTGCCAAGCACCCCCCCTGAAAAAAAACTGTAAAAGGCGAACATTTGGGCATGCCCTCTTAATTATCTCCTCAAGGTTTGTGGGATACTAGAAAACCACAGCTGCCCACTCAGTTTTGCAATATACCTTGCATAGCACCTTGGGAAGTGTAAACTCCTAAGGACCCCCCTGGGGGGGGGGGCACAACGCTTCTGAAATAAAAGTACAAGCCTGCCTCCTACATGAGGTTTTCCCTTTATTTTGAGGTGCCTCCCAACCCTAGCAAGACGGGGGATACCTTTTCACCTACCCCCAAGCACTGCTTCGGCGCTCTGTGATGCATGGGAAAGGCAGCTGCCCTAGCCCCTTGGCTAGAGTGGCAAACCTTTCTGCCACTCTTGCCAAGAGGCCTGCTAGTCTTTGAGTTGATCTGAGTTTGGATAAGAAAAGTCACAGTGGATTTATTAAATGCTACTATAAGCCATGGTCAGTTGGAATGGCTTATAAACCACCCTGCAGGAACACAAAACCACCATGGCTTGATGCACTGTGAAAAACCAATCTGTAAATGCATCCTTCAACAGGAATAAGTTTCTCTAACCTTGCTGTAGTACAGAAGTTGGGAACTTGAGGCTCTCCAGATATTTCAGCCCACTTCCTCCAGTTTTGCATTTGAGGGATGGGGACCTCTACTTCATTAGAGTAAATAAAAGTTCCACATGCAACAGTTGGGACACTCAACTTTTTACACAAGGGATGTAGAAAATGCTTAGCTGTAATCAGTATCTTTGTCTTCAAGGTGTTCCACATACTGAGCTCTTACTACAACCTTCGAAAAGAAAAACTTCTGAAGCAGTCAAAATTATTAATCTAGAAGGCGTTCCCTGGCTGAAGTGCCTATCCTATGCAAGCAGGGATATCTTCTCCCTCTGACCTCAGTTACAGTGGGGCAATAGCTACTCTGTCCATCACAAAATAACACATAAAAACTGAAAGGTGTTTTTGTTTTCTAGAAGAGCTAGACTCTCAGTCTAGCTCTAGCCATTATTTTGATTGACTGGAAAACAAGTAAAATCACACCCACTTCAGAACATAAGCACATTTGGGTACACTTTTGCAAAAGACAAGTTTAAATCCTGAAGAGTCCAACACCAGCGGCAAGGTTTTTGATAGATGCTATGTTCATATTCTTCAAATGCAAACAGAGTGGATAAAAATATTATCTATCATCTCTGTCATCATTTACAAGCAGTGATGTGAAACCCTCTGCTTGGAGAAAGGGAAAAGACAAAGGTGTGTGTTGGGGGGAAGGTTATGCCTTTGGGAAAATTACCCACTTTTTCTTAAAAATAAGTTGTTTAGGAAAACACTAAGTAACCTGGAAAAACAGGATCTTGCCTTGGTGGGCAGCACAGAGTCAAACCCTTTCAACTACAACTTTTCTCCTTTGTTTGGAAATAGCTGTTCATGCCCAGAGGACAGACTGTTTATTATACTTTTCCCTCTGTTGAACAAATAAAGTATACACTCCTATTGATGACTGTAAACACTGTTCTCTATGCCGTAGAACACTGGAAGTCATAAGTGATGTAGAATGCAGCACTGACCTTTTTACAGAGCTGTTTTTAAGGATTATTAAATGAACAAATACGATGGACTAAACACTACCAAGCACCACATACATGATCAGCACTGTTCATGCTTAAGACAGTACACACTAAATACTGATTAGAAATTAAACATGTAGATATCTTCCATAACTAAGGGATAGCACCCTTCAATTCTTTGAGAATGTATCTATTTTTAAAAATAAGTGTGCACAGTTGGACTGCTCTCTGAAACAGATAAATAATCTGCCTGCACATTAACTTCTTTGGAAAGTGGCACAAGAATTTCAAAGTTGTGCAGTTACCCCGACTTCTATGAGAGACTGGGAAATCTTAGACAACTGAATGAGGAAGTGCACACATCAATGGGCACTATCCTAAGTTCACATTCCAATGGACTTGAAAGACCTGAATTTACTATCATGCTGTAAAATTTAAAGAATAAACTCTAGGTTAAATATAAATCAACAGCAGAAGGAGAAATCGTTTAGCTGTCAAAAGGAACATGGGGATTTCCAGGTAAAACAAATAAGCAAACCAATATATACAATTGGAAAGCACTGAACACTACAAAGGTTCATAACCCCAAAGAATTTTCAGTGAAAGAACACACCATGCTAAAAACCTTCTATGTGCAATCCATACTACAAACATGTATTTATAAAGAAGTGAATAGCCTTAATGCTGAATGCACAGATATGTGAATGAATGTAGTTCGATATGGGCTATAGTTTAATTTAAATGAGAAGGGTATGGATTCAACATCCAGATGAATCAAGAGCTCACTGGATCATTTCAGGCAGGGCCCTATTATTTAGCCTGTTCCTACTTCATGTAAGTGTTATCAATAAAAGTAACACTTTGCCTCCCCCCTCTTCTCTTTCCTTTTGCTTTATGTCTTTTAGATTGTAAAGCTGCAGAGAGATGCGGTCTTATTTCCAATCTACGTAAGCTGCTGTGCTAAACTTTTCAGCTAAAGAACAGGGTAAAAATGAAGACTAAAAATGCTCTTAGTCATATAGAATATTTAACAGACAATCGGAAAGAATGTACAACAGCTTTTCTTTCTGAAATATGTTTCAAAGAATATTAGGAATTGCTTCTGCTATCTGTATCCAGCTTGTGTTTAGGGGAGCAAAGCTATGGCCCTAGAGGTTATTTGAGGGGATGCAGGACACCGGGGATTTCCCCTTCCAAGACTGGAGACAGCATTCTGACTCAGAAGTGGGAATTGCATCTGCCAGCCCAGAAGAAATTGTGTCAGCTGCCCTCCAAGGTCAAAAAATTCACCTTGGAGAAGGAAGCATCCCAGTAGGAATGGAAGAGGCCGGAGAGGCAAGGGGTTGCCGACCTGACCCTCTGCCAGCCTCTTTCCTTCTTTAAAGCACAATTTCTAAAAAATCTAATAAAATATGTAAGGTGGAAAGACGGCAAGGTGAAGATTGCCACCACGGCTCAATCAACCCTGTGCTGGGTGAGCCGAAGTCTCCAAGCTGAGGGCTCTGGATCAATGGGAGTGCAATCGATAGCACTGTACTCTAACTTTTGTATTAGAAAGATAATAGGGCAGTAGGTCATCTACACTATACTGACTTACCCACCATACTCCCCAAGATCTCCAAATAGGTATTATGAAGAACACTGTCCAATTCAACTTGGAAACAAACAAGCTAAAGGGTTTGTTGATTTGAATGTGAAGAGTCTGGATTCGACATCTAGAGGAATCAAGAGCTCACTGGATCATTTCAAGCAGGGCAGTATTATTTAGCCTGCTCCTACCTCATTTAAGTGTTATCAATACTACCCCCCCCCCCCGATTCAGTCTATGTTTGAGCAGGCTCTCTGGACTGTAGTGTGAAGCAGTAAGAAGATTTACCTGCAGACAAGTCAACTAGTACAAGACTAATACAAACTGCAGACTTTAGAAGCTCCAACATGTCCATGTTCCTCTACCCCATTTGGCTCTGCAGTCAAATCTCTGAAGGGTTCTGGAGAACCCAAAAGCCTGCTCACTCTTTTGTGACATTTTAGTTGTCCCTATTCCTAACTAGATTCCTAACTACTGGTCCCTAATAGACCAATATGATGACTTTATCTTTTGTATTTTTATATTTATTATTGAACAACATGGTATGTAAGGCCAATACCTTAACACATAAACATCCAATGCAGATGGACTTTTGTACAGACATAAGATAAAAAATAAGTGCAAACATAACATAAAAAGTCAAAATATGAGGAACTGCAGACTATGATCTGCAGCACAGCATGTACCTGAGGAAGGGAATACATAATTTTGATGGCAGGGAAGGTGGAACGACAAGAAACAAAGCATATCCACAACACACCAACTCAGAGCCTTTTGCTATTTCCTGCAATAGTCAGTACAATAAAACACAGACATCAATTAGCTCTTTCTTAATAAAGATGTGGTATCTACTCATTGTATTACTGTCAATGGTCTATATGACCTCATGCAGAAATAAAGAATTCACTGATATTGAAAGACTTCCACACAAAGGAAACGGTGTTAATTGTTTGAAAAAAACAGTGCAATATAATATGGGAGAAGGGAGTTTTGGGGAAGTGGAAGTGAAAGGGGGGATTAAGGGAAAAGGAGGAGGGTTGTGGCAAGAGGAGGGTTGAGGAAAAACAGGAGAGATACAGGGCCCATATACTGAGCATGAAACATGGGGGTAATCATGGGAAATCAGCTATGGTGTTTACCCAGTAAGCCTTGGGATGGGGAGTGTAAACAGAAGAGGGCTGAAGAGTTTACTTAAAGAGGATGTAAACATGGTGTTATTTCACATTAAAACACTTACATGTGTGAGAAAGAAACATAAGAGGGCAGAAGTGGAAGATTGAGTGGGGTCGGTCTGTGGGTAGGTAAGGGGGAAAAAGACAAGGACAACACTTTAAAGCACAATGATATTCATGTTTAGACAGAAATCAGCCCTTCAACTCTCGGCAACAGGGTGTCACCTGGAGTGGTACGACTATTTTCCCTCTCTAAGCATGCACAGGATTGCATCCTTCGCCTCCAAATGAAAAGGCAGAGATCAAGCTTGCCTGGGAGCCCTCCTTTCAAGCTCGGAGTGGGGAGGGCAGGGTTGAAAAGAATGGAGGTTACACTAACTCAGGGAAAGAAACTTCGCACATGTTCAGATTGCTAAGAGCGAACAGCGGCTGTCACGTTTTCCTGAGCAGAGCCGAGGAAAGAGAGAGCCCCAGGCAGAGCCGGGGCAAATACCGTGGAACCGCAGGAGGCCGAGCTGTAGCCCTGACCGGCGAGCCTGGGAGGGGCGTGGCGAGCAGCGGGGCCGCCGCCGGCCTGCGGACCCAGAGCGGGAGCAGCTCCGGGGGCAGCGCAGAGGATCTGCGGGGGTGGGGAAGGCACTTAAGCACCGCGCCGCACAGAACTTACTTGGGAGCTGAGGTAGCGCTTGAGGCACTCCTCGCAGACGGGCTTCTTGCAGCAGGGCAAGGGCTTCAGAGGCTTCTCCTCCAGACACACGCGGCAGGTCAGCACCAGCACGGGCCCGAAATCCCCGGCTAACAGCCCGGAAAAAGGGTCGGGCAGAAGGTACAAGTCTACCTCAATGCCGCCGCCTTTTCCTCCCCCTCCGCTTTCTTCTTCTCCTCCTCCTCCTCGCAGAGAAGGCGGTGGCGAGGCGGCGGGACGAGGGTCTTCTCCGGGGTGCAGAGAGGCAGGCGAGGCGCCCGGGTGCCGGTCGCTCTCCACGCAGTAGACGGTGCAATAGACCGGCCGCAAAGGAAGGCGGCGGCTGTGGCTGTTCGCCGCTTCCGACCCTGGACCCTCCTCCGAGGGAGCCTGGCCGCCGCCCGCCTCCCGGCCTGGCGGTTCAGCAGGCGGCGGCGGGTCGGCGCCGTCCTCCTCTTGTGGCCTGGCTGTCCTTCCGCTCGCGATGGGCGGCGGCTGAACTCCCGCGGTCGGGAGAGGCGGCCCGGCGGCGGCCGGGGTTGACTCCGGCGGGGCGCTCGCCGTGCTGAGCTGCTCGCCCATCCCCGCCGCCACTGCAGCCACCCGCGCCGTGGCCGCTGCCCATCCAGGCGCCTCCGCCAACGAGCGGCGCCCAAGCGGGACCCGCACGACGTGCTCAAGCGCCCCCACTGGCCCGCCCGGGCGCCCCCCCTTCCCGCGGGAGGAAAGTCGCCGCCGCCGCCGCTTCCTCCGCCGCCCTGTGCCCACGGGGAGCCGCGCGGCCAAGGCTCCGGGCGCCTCTGCCCAGCCTCACCCGCCTTTCGCACGCAGGGCCCGACGCCCCGACAGGGACCGCCTCATCGTGCCCGACTGGCCGAGTTCAAAGAGAGCTGGCCCCTCCCCGCGCCGCGCTACCTACCTCCTTCGCACCTTACGGGACCGACTCCACCCGCCTCCTTTGCGGCAGGGGTGGGTGGCACTCGGTGGTTCTAACATCCTACTTGCATCAAATGTTACAAGAATTGCGTTTATTATAGCTAAAATTCCCCTTCCCCATTCTTTGACTGTTCGTCTGGATTTTTAGAAAAATGGTTTTAAAGAGAAGGAGCAAGAGGATTGTTTTTCCTTAACATGCAGTATTTCTGGAGTACGCAGGGATTTGTCTCCAACTTGCATAGAACGGAGCCTTACCGCCACTCCGCCGCCCACTTCCTCTTACGCCCGAAGTCACGCCCAAGTACTCATAAATTTGTAAAGCTATGAATCCGAATTCACTCTTGGGTTTACAGGTTTCACATTAGGCCGTGAAACGAAATTTGGGAGCATGAGTGTTCTAAGGAATATGGTCCCTGGAATTTAAGAACTAATCATGATTAGATAGGCGTAGGTTAAGGTGAGTGTGTTCTACCTTACTTCTTCCCTTTATCTTCCACTTTTTCCGACTTTTTTGGAGGAGAGAGTGAGAGAATGAGGGAGATAAATTTTCACACCTTTGTCTTTGGAGGCTGTGATGAAACACAGAAAACTGAAAGGCTTTCATCTTAAGATGCAATGCACTGTGATTTATTTTTATAGTTTGGACATCAAACCTTTCAAATATAAAACATTTCCAGGGCGGCTTACAAGATAATGGCCATTTGTTATATTGCTGGGAGGAGAATTTAGGTACTGGCTCAGTAATATAGGGAGCCATACTGCCTGTTGTCAAACAGCAGCAATAGTTCCAAGAGTTTTTGCAAGCAACATCAGTAGCTTCTATCCTGGCTGGCTGTGGGCAGCAGCATTCCTAAGTCTAGGAGAAATTTTCTATCCTGGAAGTTTGTGCATATAAATCATGTAATCCCTCCAGCACTGGTTGTGTCAACTTCCCTGACCAGATTTGTTTGCTAGCTTTTTTTTTCCTTTCCATGAATTTGAGGCAGCTTACATAATCCTCCTCTCAATTTATCTTCACAACAGTCTTGCGATGTTTGTTAGGCTGAGAGTTAGCTGCTGGCCCAAATTCACCCAGCAAGCCTTGCGGCCAAGTGGGAGCTAGGACCAGGATCTCCCAAGTCCCTGTCCCATACAGGCTCTCAAGTAATACTGTGATAAATCACTTGCACTGGCTTCAGTACTATGTATCTAATATTCATGTTCACATCATGTATATTTTTACAAGGTGTTTTCATACTGAATTTTATTCACTTATACACATGCATTGTACATGCATGTACAGAAATTGTCATCTGTGTACCTCTGAGTTCTCATTCTCTTTGTTCTTCCAGTAAGTAACAGGTGATGGTTTCTATTAATAGCGAAGTTTGGGGATATGTATTAATCATTCTGCAGACAAAATTATACAATTCAAGAAGAAGATGAATATACTGGTAACCTCAGGAGAACTCCCAAAATAGATTTTTTTTTCCAGAAATAGAAAAAAATGAGAAAATAAACTCTTGGAGCACAGAAGCTTCCAAAAATAGGCAAAACATTTGTGTGATCACACAGAAAAATTAGGGGTGCAGCTCCATTTGAGAAGTGCAAAGTGCTTGTTCAGAGCACAAACTATGGGAAACAAAAGGTGATGCTGGCTGGTGAGAGAGGAGGGAAGAAGAGCACAGAAAGGCAGGATCAGAGGATACGGAGTGGGTTGCATGGGTACAAAAATGCAGTTATGTGTTGTCAAGTCATCTCTGACCCATGGTGACCCTATGAATCAGTGTCCCCCACATGTCCTGTCCTCAGGCAACCCTGCTCAGCTGTTGTACACTTGACGCCATGGCTTCCTTTATGCAATTGATCCATCTTATATTCAGTGTTCCCCTTCATCTGCCTTCAGCTATCCCTAACATGATCATCTTCTTCAGTGAGTTTTGTCTTCTCATGATGTGTTGGAAATACAACAGCTAAATGTACAAATTATATTTTAAAATAAAACCCTTTAAGGGAGCACCTGTAACAGAACCCCCAACTATCTGACTTTCCTTAGGAGTCTCAGTATATTGGCTGCCTGTCACCTGACACCCACAACTAGACTGTTGTGATGCAGTTTATGTGGGGCCACCCTTGTACCTGGTGTGGAAGCTGCAGCTAGCCCCAAATGTAGCAGTTGGGGTGCTCAGTGTTATACCTCGTCCTCTTCGCATTATTCCAAAACCGCATTGGCTGCTACGGAGCCACGTTCAAAGTTGTTGTTGACAAACAAAGCCCAGAACAACTCACGGCCAGGATACCTAGCAGGCTGCCAGCGCTTACATATTTCCTACTGCTCTTCAGACGAGCATGAATGTGACTGTGTATCTATAGTAGTACCCACCCTGTGGTACCCCTCCCTCTGTGCTCTTTTGGAGGCAGAAAGCATAGCACATTTTAAATGCTGCCTGCTTGTTTAAGCAGGCTGTGCCAGGATTGTAATTAATCATCATTAATCATGCTGCAGCTGCTCTATTCTATTGTTTTTATATTGCTTTTATTGTTCTAAAAGCGTATTTTAAACTGTGATTTTTTTATCAGCTCCAGAGAACAACACAGGAAAAATAACTGGCTCAGGATTCTAAACATAAGCAACACAAGAAAGATATCTTCCACCTAGATGCCTTGAAATCTCATGCCTTTTTGTTAGTCATATGGTACTCTCATAACGGTTGTTTTTGATCTGTGCATATGTCTGAGCATTGGTGCCTTGTTTCGTATAGAAAGAGCAGGTATCTCCACCCAGTGCAGTTCAGTGTCCCTCTGAAAAGTTGCAGCACAGCAAAGGGTGAGCAGCTGGTGGCTCTTGCATTATAGGGCAGGCATAGAACTAGTGAGTGCAAACAGCAAGGAACCAAATTCAGCTAAACACGGGGGATTTTGGTGGGGTCAGAGATGCTTAATAGTGGATCAGGGTGCCTCAGCTGGTGGTAGGCTTTTCTTCGCTGGTGATATTTAAGCAGAGGCTGGACCATCTGTCAAGGATTCTGTAACTGCATTTTGCATTGCAGATCCTGTATGAAGCAAGAATTTGGATTAAGTCAGGGTGGACAGTTCCATATTTGGCCTACAATGCCTGTCATCCTAAATCATTGGCTATGCTGGTTCGGGCTGATGGAAGCTATAGACCAAATTAACTGGAAAAGGCCAAGTTGCCCACGCAGGTTTACATGATTGCCAAAATCTTACCCAACCCTAGTATTCTAGAAATCTAATAAAAGGGAAAGGAAGTGAGATGGTGCCAGGATTTTGAACTGGGTTTGATTCTGTTTCTTTAACAGTGGGGGATTAAAGAATGTGGTATTAGAATAAACCTGGCATTGGGATGAAGCTGGAAAAAAGCTTTACTAATTCAATACCAACATGTCAGGCTACTGTTAGGTCAGTGAAAAAAAAGGGGCAATCTCTATGTGGAAATCACTTTTGAGGAACATATATATTATCCATTAACGAAGAGACCACCAAATAGGGAATTAATTGTCAGTGCAGATTGCATATGGGTAGAATCCCAAAGGTACCGACTTGGCAGCAATGCAGAAATACATGAGCACTTGTACCATTGAGATAAACAACAAATTAAATATGTGTGAGCTGTACTTGAGCATTGTAAAGGATACACACTGGGTAAAGAAGGGCACCACATTGGTCTTTAATAGGAAGTCAGTCATTTATGATACACCAGAGTAACATGTTGCCCGAGAAACCAAGGAGCAGCAAAGCCAGCCCTTCTCAAGGATAAATGGGTATGAGTAGATAAACCAGGGTTAGCTTCATGATTGGTAAGGTAGGCTTCCTACACCGATCATTGGGAAATCCTTGGTTTGTCAGGATCTGGTCTAGTTTACAAGTAACTGTGTTTGCTCTCCTGGATACACTGGCAGAAGGATCCTGTAGTTGCTTGACATCTAAAGGACATAGGCTTTTCTGGAGTCCCATCTCCAACACTGGGGCTGAGACTCATCGCTCTGAGTGTTACAGCCAATGCAGAAGGAACTATACTGGCTACACCTTCAGAGACAAAGTTTAGGGAGTGTTCTAGAGGGCAGGAATGGGGAGACACTAGTGTTGCCAAGGTACAGGTAATCCTGTTGGCATCTCAGCTCCCTTCTCCCACAATGGCCAAAATTGGTTGTCTAGCTGCTTTGCAGGGCAGGACAATTATGGAAGTTACCTTTGCCTCCAATTTGGAGTGTTATGAGCATTCCCCATAGGACTGTGCCCTGGCTGCTTAAATCTCATGGGGTTTCAATGGGATTTCTGCAGTCAAACCAAAGACAGGAACCTTTCAATACCTGGAGAACCTGGGGATTGACTCCAGGACCCTAATTTGGGCAGGGGATCCAGGAGATCTAGATTTAAGATCCCACTCATTCATGAAACTCACTGGGTACCTTTGGCCTAGTCACAGACTCTCAGGCCAATCCTCCTTGGGGTTATTGTTGTGAGGATAAAATGAAGCCATGTAAACCACCTTGAGTTCCTCAGAAGAAGAGGAAAATGGGATAAAATGCAATTCATAGTAATAACTGTGTTTCAAACTAGTTGATGGGAGGTACCACTTTTTCAAATACTAACATGCAATCTCATCTGTAAAATGCAGCATGAATAAATGAAATCAGGCAGTAAGGCTAGAATTTGCCTGGTTGTTTAGGCCATTTGCAGAAAAGCAGATTATTAGATAAACATTTTCCTTCTTGGATTTAAGCTGCTTGGCTTTATGCATGCCTGCCAAAAGAGCCAGATGCTGTTTCAGTAGTAAGAATATTTTTCGGACTGCTTCATTTTATATTGCATGCATAAGGCCATTACAGAGTAAAAATAGCTATTTTTATGACTATATGTGAAGATATTAAAAATCATGGCCTTGGATTCACTTAAGTGAGTAGGTTCCCTGTCCACTAACACTGTAAAACTTCTCTTATCCAGGAATCTCTCTTGATCAATTGCTTTTTGCGCTAGGTATTATTTACAATTATCAGTGCTAGTGTTAGTATATATTTATGCTTCCGTTATTCTCCAGCATCTGTGATCCAAAACTGAAAAATTAATGTGATTTTCTCTAGAAGATAAGCCAAATATTGAAAGTTCTACTGTTTCGGTAACTTCAGAAGTGAGACTTGATTTAAGTATTGTGGAATTTAAAAGCAATTAGTGATGTGTGAACTTACCCCAAGTGGGTTTGTTATTTTCACAAAAGTAACAGATTTGTCCATGTGTCGCACGACAGCCTTCTTAGCATACTATGTGTGTTCCTTCGGATCGGTCAAGTGGCCTGCCTGCCTGCCTGCCTGCAAGGTTCACTCACTGATCATCGTTATATGGAAAAGGGAAGAAAAGGGGCCCCCAGCCAGCCTCTTCATAGAGTTAGAGCTGCGATGCGAGCAACAAGTGAAGGAGCAAAGCATGTGCCACTTCATTCAAGCCCATACACAGAAATGGTGCTTCGATGCCTACTGTACATGCTACAAAGCTTGCAATCAATTCCGAGCTTAATAATCATTTGTGATACATTGGCCAGGCTTGCTACAAAGGTGAGTATTATAGGCAGGTGAGTTTTGACCAACAACCCAACTAATTATGAAATCCAGCAGCTTTGCTAAAAACAATCCATTTGGTTCTTTCACTGAACTAGTAGCGTTTCTAGGATTCATAGTTGGAAGGAATGCAGGAAGGATATATGTTGAAACATTTCAGATGTTTAGAACTATTAAAAAAATCTTTTTGAACTCTAAAAATGTGAGATTCTCAGCTCATCCCCTATGCCAGCATCAGAAACTTCAACACATTTTGTAGTACTCATGTAATAGAAACCAGTATGGAAAGGCATGGATAGGGAAGAAAATTATCAGGCTGTTAAGGATTCCCCCATAATACACTGAAAGGAAGCCCATTTTGTAGGAGGGGAATTTTCAGTGACAGCTTGGTATGTCAATCTGAAAATGAACCCTTATGTAATTCTTACACCAGGGAGGTGAATTTCATATGGCTGCTAGGAAAATTCTTTGTGCAGAAGAATTCAAATTGACTTGACAAGCTCTTTCTGGCAGCACCGAAGAGGTGAAGTCTGAATTTGACCCCAATCATACAGTTCCTTTAAATGTGATCACCAGTATTGCTCCAACCATAGCATTAGGCATAATGGTAACAAAGAACACAAATATTAATGTGCCAAGTTGTTTTTATATTGTGGAAGCAATATTCTTGAGTACTGAGGGTAAAAATCACAGAAGGATACAAAGAAGTAATAGAAGTAGCATTTCATTCTTAATTTTCTTCTTCTCCTTGATTAAAGTGCAGTATCATTGTACAAAATTCCAGGATTCTGGTCTCTGTTTTGCCTTCTCTTTCCTGCAAGTATGAAGGAGGAAATTATTCCTACCACTGAGCCAAAGGGGATGTATTTACAGAGTTCCACATAATGGGACAAGGATATCCTGTTGAGAAGCATGCAGAAGGGAATGGGGAATGTGCTGTTTTTTCTAGATGCCAACCTCTGACCCTATACAGGCCCATTTCCTGAATTGCTGTTTCTCTTGAGGAAGGTGTCAGTACAGATGTCTTTGGCTAAAGGATTTCCTCCTTGCAACGAGAGCTGCTCCTTCTCATTCCTGAACCCATGCAGTATATTAGTTGGCCAAGCTGTGGCACATTCCTCCACTCTGATTCTGCTTGAGGCAGCCCACACGTTAAGTTACTCGGCTGCTGATCTTATTTAATCTCTGTATCAACATAAAGAATTGACATGGGCTCTTTGATCCCTGTTAAGAAAAGAAAGCTTAACTCTAGACAGGAGGGCATTGTTATTGTGGAGTCTAGAGAAATCTGAGCAGTTTCAGCTGCTGCCTAAAGGAAACCAAATCTAGGAGAATTTAGGGTTTGCTTTCTTGGCATGCACAGGACTGTTGATAAGTTTGAGATTTTGTTGTTATATTACCTAAAGACCCCGTTTTGAAGTAAGCATTATGTTGGCTCAGAAAATTCACGTGTCTGGTGAAAGGCCCTATTCAAATAAAGTAAATTAATGTCCCACAGAGTTTCATTAAGTATGGACCTAGATTCAAATACAGTTCAGGTCTGTTGTAACTTTCATTATCTGAAACTGCTGGTGCTCAAACTGCTCTGAGATCCTTAGAAAACTAGCAAGGGTTCCTCAAGGAGAAGATAGTGAACCCCAGGCAAGTTTCCTGACTGGTAATTTAGTTACTGCTTTCTGTTAGGAATCCCCATTTGGTGCCCAGGCCCACTAAAGTATGAGTTATGTACTAGGACAGACAATTTATAGGGTAAAACATCTGGAAGACCACAAGCTCCATCAGCTGTGGCCAGCATAGTCAACAGATGATGGGAGTTGTGTTCCTCCAGCTTTTTTGGCCGTATGAGTTGCCCAGGACTCACTTGTTCCATCAATGGGCCCGCTATGCCTAGCCAGAGGTTACCAGTCTCCCTAAAGCTCACATCTTGAAAGTCTAGTGCTTGGTGGTTTAGCCAGGTTTGTAAAGAAGGCAGTCTGGCTATGCCTGCTTCTTTGGGTACAACCTGATGAACATGGGACAAACTAATAGAACAAGCGTTTAAGACTGTATTGCTAACTCTGCATCCTCTGAAAATGATAGTCCTTCACCAGGAGACCCTGAGCCTGAAGGAGACTGAAGCAGTGATACTTCAGATCAGATACTGAGTCCTGGCAAACCTGGGCCTGGCCAGCATTCTGTGTGAACCATAAAACATGTCGGCAGAATAGATTAGAATATAGAAGAGATTTTCCCTGAACTAAGACTTGTGCTCCAACCTTCTGTTCACAAGATAAGACACTGGTTTATAGTGTTCAGTCTTACCTACAAAACTCTGTCTCTTCCACACACCCACATGCTTACAACATGACGTAAAGTTGCTTGTGTGTACAGATTTGTCCGCTGAGGCTGAAATCCTTTATCCTTTTATGGGGAGTAGGTGTTATTGAACGCTGAGGGACATACTTTTGAACAGACACCTACAAGATTGCTCTGGAAGAAAACTTGTCGTACTTTGTGCCTTTACTGCTTCCATGTCTATCAAAAATTTATTTAGGGAACTTCTATGTCGCCCCATTTGCTGAAGCCTTGGGGCAGCTAAAAATGCTGCTGAGTTATCTGACTAACTGGTGCAGCGTAGTATTTGGTTTTTTTCCCCTAAAGTAACATTTTTAGTCTGCTTCATTAATTTAGTCTGCTGGTAGAGCTCTGAACTTTCACTGCTGATTTAAAATTAATGTCTGAATTATGAAATATTCAGATAGTGCCCAAACCTACATGGGCAGTATATGTCCTTACAACTGGGCTAATTCCACTAGTCATGATGCTCTATGGAGGGAATCCCTGATGTGGAACCCATGCAGGGTGCCAAAAACAAGGTCCCACACATGGTGCCCACAGACACCCATTGAAAAGCATTCCTCATTTTTTCCAAATATATGTGCAAGGATTTGTATGAAATGCATGCTGCTTTCTAACTATAATATATGTCCATTTGAAGTTCGCTTCAATATAGCGCCTGTTCATATATCAAAAGGATTGTAAGATCTTCAGTCTATTGTACCATAGGTGGTGAATGTTAATCCTTCCATTTTTGTAATATCAGTTTTTTAAGGGTGCGGAGAATCCATTTCCCCTTCTGTCTGTTAATTTCTGTGAAGCAGGTAAGTAATTTAAAAGATTGTGTGCATTCATGAATATTAAAGACTGCTCCAGTACAAATTTTATCTGTGTAATACCCTCCTCCCCAAAGAAGGTCATTGCCAATATGCATGGTTCAAAGAAGAATTACAACCGGTTAATTGCACCACCAGCAATTAACTTAATTGGAGAGTCCCTTATGAAGGAGATTTGGTGGTGTCCAATAGACTTGAAGCAGATCTTTTTTGTGGAATAAGACACAGCCTAAGATCTATACATGTGGCAAAGTGATGATCCGCTGATGAGACATTTTGTGGTGATGCCCACATCAGTTTTGGAAATTCCCAAATGCCCACATTTGAAATTCCCAAATGTGTCCACAGTTCCAAAAATGCTGGGGATCCCTGCTCTGTGAGACCCTCTTCACAATGCCCCAGACCGTTCAGATCCTTTCATTGGTGCAGATGAATTGCATAGGCACCTTTCTGAATCAATGACACCTCTAAACTTGTTTGGGCTGGTCAATGGTATGAAATATAGCGCCTAGTGATATTAACACTAACACTGCAGATGTGGGTTGGAGGGAAGGCCATCAGGAACTTCCTTTATCTTGAGTTTGATCATTGGTCCATCTAGCTCAGTATTGTCTGTACTAGCAGAGGCACGATGGATTATGGAAGCTATAGTCTTCACCATCTGGAGCATCAGGTTGTCTGTGCCTGGTCTAACTGACTGGCAGCAGCTCTCAGTAGCTTCACAGAGGGGGCTTTGCCATCCCTACCTGAAGATGCACGGATTCAGTCTGTTGTGTACCAGCTGAGCCCTTCCCCAAAGGATGTGGTTTGTAACATGAGGTTGTGGCCACAAGGGCTCGACCCAGAAGCTTGCTGCACCCTGTATCCAGAATCTGGGCTGGAGGCTTCTACCATACCTTCTTTTATAAACTCCCAAGTCTCACAGATTTTTACAGACACATAAGGAAGAGTGTTCTTTTCATGTAGTGTTCCTTCATCAGAACATACTCTTCAACCAAATGAGCTTTCCTGATTTGTCAGCCAGGTGCTTGCTCCTAACTACTGGAAGAGCCAGAGAAACTTATCACCAATCTGAGATCTCATATGGCTGTCGAGGTGTGTACAAAAAGGTTCTCTACTTTATGTTCTGGGAGCTGTCCAGAGTCCTGCCACAAAAAATCACTCACTGGCTGGGTTCACATGGCATAGCAAGCACCCCTGCACTGTTTCCACAGTGCACGTATTTTTGCCTAAACTTCCTGGTCAACAGATCACATGGTTCCCCAGGCAATGTGGTTTCCACACTCCCTTGTTCTTCATCTCAGCCTTTCTGCACATCCAGCAGTCCCCATGAACAAAATCCCCATCCTTTCCTTGTTCTTGCCCATGGATTGCATACGCCTCCTCCTGATTGGTCCGCTGTTGCCCTGAGGTAGCCTCTCCCGTTCCATCTCTCAAGTATCTGCATGTCTGTAGCACTTCCCAGCTGCTCCATTACCAACAGAGATTTTTTCTTAAAACAGTTTCACTGCAAATTCCCCTCTTTTCTCACTAGGTACTTTTGTGCCATCTCCTTTTCCCCAAATGTAAACAGGCAGGCACATCATTCAGCCAATGGGAATAAAGTGAGCAATGACACATCTGTTGCTAGAGAGCTGAGGCCAACAGAGATCAAAGGCTAGAAGCAGGCACTTCTTGCCAAGGGACTCTATGGTGTTTCCATACCAGTAATGATAACATGGCTATTCTGGGTCAGACAATCAGAGGAGCCATAGTTAAGCATGGAAACCTTAGAGCAGGCCATTGATTCTCTCTGTGGTTTCAGAAAATTAATCCTACTATGCAGGAACTCGGGATCTGGATCCGAACAACACAAGAATGGCAAATCTTATAATGCTAAGATTTCACCATGGCTTCTTGAGTCATGAGAATCTGCCCACTAAGTGACAACTTCCAGTTCAACATAGCAAGGTCTGAACTGGGTGAGACATAGGAGAGTTGGCCAGTGCTTACAGTTCTGCTTCTCTACTACCTTTAAGCCTTCATCTGTTTTCCTGAGCACCTGCACAGGTCTAGAGACTTGAGGTGATATGGAGGAAGAGGGTTGCATACATTTAAATTGGACTGTACAAGGCGAGCAGATGGTTTCACTATCATTGCCCCTAGCATGTCTGGCAACAAGAAATAGTGGCCAGTTGTTTATCTTACATTTTTTAAAGTATAAACTCCAGCTGTTTACACAGATAGGTTTTGATCCTAGGTTTCCTGGTTGATGGAAAGCAAAGGACAGATAAATTAGGCTGTCTTTATAGAAGTTTAGTGGTTGAGTCCTGAGTGCTCAAAGCCATTTGAATGGAAATGCCTTTAACAGGTTTGTATCTCTGTCTTGCTACTGTAATTTGTGTATTTGCAATGCATACGCATCCCTCAGAAATGTGAATAAATGTTATTGTAAAACCAAATGCAAAATATGTATATAAAGGTAAAGGTTTCCCCTTGACATTAAGTCCAGTCATGCCTGACTCTAGGGGGCGGTGCTCATCTCCATTTCCTAGCTGAGGGAGCCAGTGTTTGTCCGCAGACAGACTCTGTGGTCATGTGGCCGGCATGACTGAACACCGAAGAGCACGGAACGCTGTTACCTGCCCACCGAAGTGGTACCTTTTTATCTACTTGCATTTGCATGCTTTCGAACTGCAAGGTGGGCAGGAGCTGGGACGGAGCAACGGGAACTCACCCCGTTGTGCAGATTCGACCCGGCGACCTTTCGATCAACCAGCCCAGCAGCACAGCGGTTTAAACCACTGCGCCACCTGCAGTCCCTAAAATATGCATATAGACATACCTTAAACTTGTAAAAAAACTATGAATCCCTTGTCGGTAACTTAGTTTTCTAGAGCATGTAGACATTAAGTGCGGCTTATGGTAGTATTATGTGCAGCGTATGCTAGTATTATGAGCAATACCATGGTGCACCTTCCAGAATGACAAATCCAAATGAGGATTTGGAGCATTTTGGAACTTGGCATTGGACACTATTTGTGTGGAAAATAAAAATAAATAAAAGCTTTCTAAAGGAAATTTTGCTCCACTTCAATGTCATAGAAGTCTTATAAGGCAAGAATGTATCATGGCAAAACTTGCTATTCATAGAAAGAGAACATTAAAAGTTACTATAGTTTCCTTGTACAATTGTTCATAGAAAATGTGTAACCTGAACCCAGAATCATCATACATCTGGGCTAGTCAAAATTAACCCAAATCCAGCTAACATAATATACTCACAGACCTTCTTTGTTCTCTGCAGAGCCAGGTGGCCAGCCAGGCAGCATGAATATGTGAAAACAAATATCCCTTTCGTCCGTATTTTGCTCTGAACACTCATGCCCGGTGAAGAGTTGGGTGTGGTTCAAAACACTGTAAAACATTTTATGCATTTATGAAGTACTGCATTATATTTTATGACAAACCATATATTGGTTTTTAAGACCTTGAAGGTCCAAAATTCTGTAAATATTGCATAAAGAACATCAGTTTTCATGAACTAAACATTTTATAGATATGTAAAGAATCTTGTGTAGTTCAAAAACTTGCAAATAATATAATAGTGTTTGTCTGATTTGTTTGGTACTTAAGAACAAAGTCTTAAGCATTTCTTTTGCAACTAATTTACTTTTGGATAATTACCACAGAGTATGAAATTGGGTTTTACTAGATAATATAACAAGAAAGTGTTATATTTTGTGACTGAATAGTAAGCAACTAAGAATAGTAAGTAAGAAAGTTACACAGTATAATGGTAAGAAAGTTACTCAGATTGATTTTGTGTCTTGCTAAGGCTATGAAGCACCTTCTTGAAAGTCAAACAAACAAACAAAAGATTTTGGACATTTAAGCCCCATCCCAGCATTGATCCGGTTAAAAAGTAAACATGCAAGGTGCAAGAACCCTATAGGCTGATCCCCTTTCTCAGGCATTTTTCTTGTCCTGTACTTTTATGGGCAGTAGACTGAAACATCTCTCTGGATGCTGCTTTCCTGACCAGAATGAATGCCTGGATAGGGCTTTAAAAAGGTGATGCACCTGGTTCAGAGGAACCCGTACATAATCAAAACAGATTTAAGCTCCTAGGTTTGGCCCAAGATCTCTTTTCCACAAGAGTACAGTCTTTGCTCACAGAAGGTCCCTCTGGAGAAATGGTTGGGCATCACCCTCTCCTGTGGACCCAATTCAGCAGGGTATCCTGATTCTTTGTACAGCATCTTCAGGGTGGACTGGAGGGGCTGTCATGGAAAGGACACAGCGGAGAACCCCACTGTTGCCCCCTCAATTCACTGAGTGTAAATCTGGTTCCAACCCCTCACAGTGAGAATCATGAAGGTTGTTTTGTTCTAAGAACATCTCCGGTCTTTTAATGACTAAGGGCTTGATCCAATTGTTCTCTGGGAGCTGCCTGTGACTCAAAGGCTTTCGAGCATCCAATGTGAGGTACAGCAGCAGCTTTTTCCACCCTGAGCCTTGCTTTTCAACTAGACAGACATTTTAGTTGACAAGATTTAGGGCCAGCAACTGGGGGAAAGGAGACTGGGAAGCTACCTGGCAACTGAACCGCTTCATGGACAGAGTCTCCTCTTCTCCCCACACTCTGGCAGTCTCCCTGTCCCCGAGGCTTGCTGTCGGCATGGATCGTTCCACACTGGCTGTGAGGGAATGGGGTGAAGGTTCAGCCTTCAGAGTCCAAACACCACAATCAAAAAATCTGATAATCTCTGAGATGAAAGACCATTGAATTGCACTAAATCTGCATTACTGTATGTATTTCTACATACAGTCTTGAGTGGCCTTCCTGTATGGTGACACATAATTAACAAAATAAACAAATGACCTAGGAATGGTTCAGAAATAGCAATACCTGAAGACAGTGTTAATATGAACTTACATTGTTTTATAAGTATGAAATGTGTGCCCCCACCCAACTTAAATGCCTTCTTCTCTGCACCTGAGAAAAGGCCCCAAAATGTACCTTGTTCTTCCTCAATTGAATTAATGTGCATAGAAAGGCTTTGAGGAACTTCGGATTAATGCAGTTTCCTCATGCAATTTCTTTTAACAATGCCTCGTTCCCTAGAAGGCGGTCGATGCGTAATTTTATTATCAGGTTTACCCAAGCTTTGTTCAGCCTTGTGGGATCATCAGACAAAGGACCAGTCATGAGGATGTTACAACTGTTGCAAAAAAGGTTGCACACTGGTGCCTTCCCTCAACCATCAGAGATATGGTTAGTTCCCCGCTCACACTATGCCAGCTATTCCTGCCTAGCTCAATTCACTCTGTGGCCTAGATCATATCGGTAGGTTAAACATCAGAATGGTTATTTCGTTTGTTCTTATTTCAAATTCGATTCCTCAGTGAAGAGCTTGTTGGTCCTAGAGCTCCCTCTCGTGTGCAATTTTGGTAACGTGAGGAATAGAGCAATAATTAAGCCAGCTCTGCAGCAATGGTTAATTTAGTAGGTAGAGCAAATACCTTTGCTTATATCACGCTCTAGCACCTCCTTTAATTACAAATTCAGGTGGTAAGCGTCATCAGCTATGGAGCCAAACAAGTTAAGATGCTTGGGGTTCCCTGAGGCATGAAAATGTGCCGTAACAAATTACATGCGCACTATTTTATGAGAAAAACCTTCCTCCCTACAAAATCTCAGTGAAGCCATGGAATGTTAGTGTCATTTGGAAAATAAAACTGGGTGATAAATGTAATGGCTTTGATGCAACAATGGCTTGCCCTGCTGGAACTGAGTATGGCTGGCTGGAACGCTGAATCTCATAATTATGGTCACCCTGTAGCAAGTTGGCTTACCACACATACGGCACAGTTCTGGTGAGGCTTCTTGATGCAGACCACAGAGGATGATCACAGAGGACGTGGTCAGCCCAAATGAAAGCAAGCAGGAGTTCTGCAGCACTTCTGTGGGTGGTACAGAAATATTCAAAAGTTTTATTCAAATGTATTCAAAATATTTTTGAATTCAAAATCAAAAATTGAAAAATCAAATTCAAAAGAATTCAAAATATTCAAAAGCTTGCCTGCATCTCTTGGCCCTTGAACAGAGACCCTTGTAGGAAATGTTCAGGTTTCACTGAGCAAGGGATATCCACATTTATAATCCTACTTCTTGTGTGCGCACTCCCAAAAGCAGCTCGTAACTCGACCTCTAACTGTAGGAAGTGTGTGTGTGTGTGTGTGTGTGTGTGTGTGTGTGTGATGGGGGGAGGGAGGCTGCCCTTCTTAGAGATAAACCACCCCACTCTTCTAAATTTTCAGCTTTTATACAGAGTGCCTTTAGCTTTTTTATATATAGGAAGATGGGAAGAAATACATGTTCTGTTCAATTGCCCTGCAAGGGAAAAGCAAGAGAAAGCTTCAAGACACTTGTGAAGCAAGCCTTCTGAATCTGTTAATTTTAATTAATCAATTAATTAAATTAAATTAATCTCATTTCATTCTTTTTCTGAAAAGAAGGTTCCAAAAGAAACAAGTTTCTTCATATTCAGGACAGAGGAACCTTTGCATTTTTAAAAAAGTGCACAAAAACAAAGACTGACGGATTTGTCCATGTAGGCCCAGGACAAATAGTTAAAAGTCTGGATTTGAATCTCTTGCTATTCCGTCAGGTCAACATTGACTCGGGTTGTCACCTCTTTTTTCTTGACAAGTTCCTGCCCTTAACAGTGGTGACAGGCAGGTATGATATGGTCCATGCTGTAGTTATTGAGTTTGGCTGGTGCTAGTGGATAAAAATTAGATTTTGTTTTGATTTCATAGAAAATTGAAAGCTAGAGAAAGTGAATGGGCTGATTAGTCTGTCCCTAGCATTAACTGTTTGAGCTTGTTCCCACCTCCTTTCTCCCTTCCTTCTCTTCTTCATTCTTTGTTTAATGGCTCCCTTAATATCATGAGAAGCAAGACGTGAACACAATGAACCAAAACGATGAATGAAATCAGTACTATTTGGTGGTTTCCTACTGTTTGCTTTAGGAGTTTGGTGGGGGGATTGTGTGCAGTCTCACTCAGCCTAGTACAGTGGTACCTTGACTCACAAACTTAATCCGTTCCAGGACTCTGGTCGTGACCCAAATTGGTCATGAGTGTCATGCCTGAAGCCCCGACAGAGACAGCACCTCACGAGGAGGTCTTGTGCTTAGGACCCTGTATCCAAAAACCAACCCCGTAACCTAGCTTGGGGGTGGCTGAGCAGATAGCTGCACCTCCCACTGACACCCTGCCCATTGAGCAAACACCCAAGCCCACATCAAAGCAAGAGAGCCCCGAGGGAAAAGACACCACGAGTTCTACTCAGAAGGAGTCAGAGCAGGCTGTCCCTCCTCCCACTGACACTGAACTTCCTGAACATGACACAGGAGATGCAGGGGGCGTAATAGACTTTTCCCTAGCAACCAATCGTAGAAGTCTGAGGAGGTACGAGCAAAGGCAGGCCTTGTTACGCCAGAGGGAAGAAAGGCGTGACCAGGAGAGCTAGTCCCACATGGGCTTGGGGAGAGACACCACTAGAGGATTAACATCTGCATTCCAAAGACCTCAACAGAAGAGCTCATCTATAGAGTTGTAAATCTTGTAGACAAGTAGCAATAAAGGAGTTTAGTTTTATTGCTCGTGAACGTGTGGGTTGTTTACATGTTGAGCAGCACCTCGACAATGAGCCAAGTCAAATTTCCCCATAAGTTTCAATGGAAATAAGGTTAATCTGTTCTATTTTTTTTTAATCAGAAAAATATGAAGCAAAGTGACAACAATAAAGATTGCAGCCATCTCCCCCCCGCCCACCCCAAACATGATTGTGGCCATCTCCCCACCTCCCCAGCACAACCACGATCGCGCTCATCATCCCTGCATGAGCCCGTCATCCTGGAGGGGAGACAGCATGATTGAAGGTGTGCTGGGGGAGGGAGTGATGGGGGCGAATGGGGCACACTGGGGGAAGGAGAGACGGGGCAAACGCAAGCACACTGGGGGGGGGGGGGGGAGATGGCCGAGATCGCGGTTGTGCTCCTGCAGAAAAGATGGGTGTGATCTTGGCCATCTCCCCCCTGCCCACAGCACCATCACGGCCATCTCCCCACTTGCCGGGGTGGGAGAGATGGCTGCAATCACGGTCACCACCCAATGCAGAGTTCATGACCTGAGTTAAATTTTTTATGAAATCTTTGTTTGCAACCTGATTTGGTTGTGAATCGAGGCGTTCGTGAGGCGAGGTACCACTGTATCTGCAAGCCATGTTTCTGCAAACTTGCTGTTGGGTGAAGGAATGTGTGGCTTTGAGCGTAGGCACAATGGCTTCCACTTACTAATGAATAGCCTCCATCGAGACCCTGTACTCATCCCCACAACATTTGGAATAGGGGTATAGGACAGAAGAGGGCATAAGGATCCTATGAAGCACAAAGAGAAAACAGAGCTTCAGTGTTTACATGGTCAAACAGAGCACAATAGATTATGCAGGATTAATGAAAAATTACGAAGCATTGGGCCCTGCCTCATGAGTTAGGTTGTTGGTTCATATTTTGTTGTTGGGATGGGATTGGCTGGTGGCAGCCTCCATGGTTTCAGGCTGGAGCTTTTCCAGGCCTACTCGGATATGGATGAGCAGCAGAGCTCCAGCTCTACCCCTGAGCTACGGTCCCACCCCATTTGTGGGGCTACCACTCACTGCACCGTCCTGCGATACCCTGGGCAAGTGGGATCCTAAGAAGCTACAACTGGTGCAGAATACTGTGGCTAGAATCTCAGAGGGCCAGGTGGTTTGGGTTGGAGAGAACATCACGGTGTGTTTCCAGGCACAAGTGCCCACAGTTCCTAGTCCTTTAAAGCCGTTTAAAGGACCCAGATCTGCGAAAGAGCACCTGCATTATAGTTCTGCTCCTTGGCCATCTGCTTATGCCTTTCCTGTGAGAACTTAGGTGGGTGGTGAGTGTAGAGATGGCTCCTATGGCTGTGGAGCTCCGTTGTGGAAGACTCTTCGTAGCGCTGCTTGCTGTTAGAAGCCTGGTGGCTCCCCACTCTTCCTCCTTTTTTCCTGAATTTACTTAGGTGCTAAGAGCTCAATCCTATTCATGGCTGGCAGGGGAATGCTGGGAGTTGGAGGACTTCTGACTATCAAGTCATGCTTAGGAATGTGCCCTAAAGTATTGTTGATTGTTCTTTTATTTCAGAGGTAGTAAGTCGTGGCTCTTTAGGTTTTTGCCTACAACTCCCATCATTCTTTGCCAGTGAGGATAATGGTGAGGGTTGGTAGGAGTTGGAGGTCAGACTATCTGGAGCTCCACCCCAGTTTTATCTGCTAATTCAGCTTTTGTTTATGGCTTTATGGATTTGCATTTTCCTTTGTATTGCACTGAAACACAAACAGATTGCAATAAAAATATGAGGTGAAGTATATGGCATTACAGACCAGCGAAATATTCCAGCATGGTGTTCTGTAATTGTGCTGGTCTGCAAAACCCATCATCCCCAGCAACAGGGCCAAGGGTAGACCTGGGAGATATTTTCTGGTATTATATCCATCATTGGCCCTTCCATCTTGGCTCCGCCCTGGCTGTTTGCATTCCAGACAACTGTTGTGTGTGTGTTTGTGTGTGTGTGTATACACAGAAGTAAGTCCCATAGAATTCATTTGACACAGTAAGTGTCAAACAGGACTGCCCATGAAAAACCCATTTATTTTCGGTTGACAATCCTGGATCATACATTTTCACTTCTGTATTATTGCCATTTCTGCAACTATTTAAACAAAGAAACAAACAAACCACATTCAAATTGCCTACTATACAGCTGGATTTTTGCCACCAGTAGATTGCAATTTTGTCAGATACTGTTTTGTCAGATAATGGGGCGTATCTGTTTAGAGGAAATAATGAGTCATCGGTCACCTGCATCTAGGATGTAAACAAGCGCCTGGGCACCTGGCATTTCAAATCCAATTCAACATGAGTTACTCTGTGGACAATGCTCCTGCACATTTATTGGGGAGTGACACAGTGGGAGTGACTTCAGGGAACCGAACCTAGGACTGTGCCAAACTTTACTTTAAACAAGCCAGACTTAGATTCACTTTTTGCCAAGTCAAGTTTGCTTTCAGTTAGCCGATCCAACTATAGTTGTCCATCAATTCAATTTTTCCACATCAGTTCAATGTTTCCACAATAAAAGATCAACATGTAAACAATATATATCGCTCTGTCAGGGTGCATGGTGCTTCCCAGATCACAAGAAGGTAGGACTCTGCCAGCAGGAGCTTGCAAACTAAAATCTGACACCAAAGGGCAACAGAGGCAGAAGAGGAAAGTGGAGGCAGGGCAGGGCAAACACAGAAGCAATCTGCAGTTTCAGTTTGTGGAGGCATTTTTTAAAACCACAACATGCAACTTCTAAAAAAAAAAAAAAAAGTCAGAGACCTGTTGGAAAATACAACTTTCCAAACCCCCCGCTAAAAGGACCGATTGTGTGGATCTTGCATAAGATGAGAACCGGCGGTGTGACTCTAGATAAAACCTGCAAGAGCATCACTGCAGGTTTTATCCTGCATATTAGCACAATGTTTTGGAAATGAATCTCTTTAGAGACAGTTACTTTAATATTATGCTTTGCCAATAGATGGTGCTAGCAAATAAGAAAGGCTTAGTGTGGACCATTTTACTTCACAAAGAACTGAGCTGGTGAGTACTTGACTAACAGCAAGGAAATTTAAACAATACGATTAAAGTAATAGTTCAACACATTACACTTTGTTTCTTCTATACTCCTTGTCTGCAGGTATATTTTCTGGCAAAACTGCTCTCCATGACTAATAAATGGTTTGCCTTGTCCTAAGGGCATGTCTGCATCTCAGATGATTACTTCGTTGGAATTGGGTTTGTCAGGATTCATACAGTTTTACGCAAACCAGTTTGCAAGAGTGGTATTTATTTCATTTGCAAAACCTACATCCAACTTCCTTCAGCGATATTACTTTTACGCTAGAGAACAGAAGATGAGAAAACAATTAAAATGATAACTATTGCTTCAAAACAACAA